TATATCCAATACCATACAAATAAAGAAAGTCACATTTAATACCCAAAGAAAAAGTAAACAAACAGATAAATCTAAATACGTTAGAGACAAATTTGTAAATTGTTAGACATTTTGTGTGTACAGTGTTTAAAATACTTTCAGCCAGTCAGACTTCCGTGACTATTTAGCCCTGCTCACTCAGACATCCATAAATTGATCTCGCCCTTCCCACCCTCTTAGCGCTGACAGCTAATCAGTTAGCAATTAGACAAGTAACTCAAGGTATGGCCCACTCATCCAGAGCGTCCACATTCTTCTGTCATGATTACAACTAATAACATGCCAGCACATTTCATCTCAGTAAGTGTTTCAGAGACAGTTACAACACAGCAAATTCTCACCTAACTTACAAGAACAAACAAGGACATTTTGAAGTAAAGAAGATAATAGATTTAAGTCTTGAAGTACGCAGAAATGATTTAACCTATCTGAAAAAGATGTCACAATGAATGGGCTGTAAAAATGTGAATAAGAACTTCCGTTCAAACAAAATCAAAGCAGGTTTATAAAGCACCGAATCCTTGAATGACGCCTTCCAAATATCCTTGTTTGATGTTTCTTTCTACACTACCTGAACATTAGGTACCTCTAATCTTCTAAGAGACAAAAGCTTATCCTTGATGACGACGTGAGCAGGTTTCTTACAATGAATCAGTGTCACCTGCTCAAATCCATGCGCACGTAATATTATGCCTCTGATTTTCGGTCACCTAAGTACAACCTCTGCAAAGTATTTAAAGGGTATATGACAATTTGCACTTCTCATTTCACTCAAACATAGTTAACATAATTACACTGAAGACTGAACCTGTCATATGCACTTACAAGTGCTGCTATTACGCAAATCTGTCAACTTTTCAGAGCTCTTAACCACATTACAAATGTTGTTCCTTCTCATTTTACCCATTTAAAGTGATTCACACGCGTTTGAGTTATCTTTATTCTCCTGTAATCCAGACGTCATTGCTCCGATCTACCCCAGTTTTCACTGCCGCCGGTACACACCCGCTGCTCTCTACTCACTTTGTTCTCTGTTTTATTTTCTTTAAAAAATACTACAAATGCACAAATAAAAAAATAAAAAATGCTGCTCGCTACCATGACCTCCAGCTATCCACTGTAGACAGAACGTACCACTTTCTTTTACTGAATGATGCAAAACTGACTCCTGTGAGCTTTTAGTCATATTTTTACATTCTCAAAAACATACCAGGAATTGTTTTGTTTCACTGTTTTGATTCATTCCCACGCCTGAGTACTGCTTCTTCCTGGGTCTCGAGGGCTCAAAACGCTCTATTCCACCTTGTGATGTCATTACATGGTAGTTTTAAAATTGACAGCTATTTTTAGCTTCAATTGAACTATTGTACTCCAAAACAAACTTGAAAAACCCAAAGATGCTGCCTTTTTTGGTTAACCTTTTGTACAGTTGAGACTTCAGTGATTCCACAGCTGAAATTATCCAAATGATACTAGTGAAAGTGCATGGGGTTTAAAAACACAGTTGAACATTTTCTGGATTACATCAAAAGTTGGAGCAGAGTGTTTTCAGTGTGAGAGAAGAAAGCTGCCAAAATATGAAGGATTTACAGTACAAGGTAAACGTGTGTATGAAACAAAACACAACTCCAGGTATGTTTCAGATGCAGAGACAACTTTATAACATAGATAAATAAACAGGATAATTAGCGTAAGTCTTTATTACACTCAGTATTGCTATGTAAAATGGCCAAAATCTAACATACTGATCCACGGGTGTCAAAGATTAGCAGACTATTAAGCGGACAAAAGCACAATATGTCTTCTTTAATACCAACCAGGCCCTGAGGCACTGACGGATGACCTTCACTGTCAAATGAAAAGTGCTTTTTTACCCTGCTTTTAGGCTATATGCTTCAATAGAGATACTTGCTAATCCTCAAGGTGAAATGAGGCTTGCAGTGTCATATTACTGGGGGGATCAAGCTGAATTATGGTTAGGTTCATTGCTTGCCTCCCGCTCTCTCTTTATCCCCTCGCAGCAGAGACCTTTAAGAAGAGTTAAACCTTATAGGACCTATATTACGTTATTTTCTGATCTATGCTCCAATGTTGTTTCCTCATCATAAACATACCTGGAGTTGTGTTTTGCTTCATTCACATGTTTAACACACAAACCCTGCATATTTAACACTCTGTTCCACATTGTGATGTCATGTGGTAATACAGGAAGTGCTCCACTGTGTTTTAAAACTCCATACACCTTCACTAGAATCATTTGGATCATTTCAGCCCTGGAATTGACTATCTCTATTGAACAAAAGGTGAAATTTTGCTATTAACTGCTGCTTCATGACATAATAAGGTGAAACAGACCATTTTGAGCTTTGGAGATGTAGACAGAATAATATTAAAGGGTTACTCAAACATGTGTGAGTGAAACAAAACACAATCCAGCTATGTTTTTGATGAGGTAACAACATTATAACATGACCTAAAGCTCACAAGAGTCAATGTCACGTAATATGGTACCTTTAATTTACCAAGAAAATACAATTGCCTTGGTTGTTTTATTCCAAAAATATTCCTAAATGTGTTTACAGAGCGGTGCGGGGGCCATTGTTTACCTTCACACAGTGCAGCAGTGCCCTAAATAGATACACATCATTGCCTTTTAGATGTTGCCAAGAGGTTGAGTTTGTGCACTGTTGTACCTGCACTAGTGTAGCTGAATGAAAGGTTGAAGAGACAACATTTATAGCTGTTTTTTACGCATGAATTAATCTCTGCTTGTAAATCACAACATAACATCGCTCTAATTTAAAGAGGGAGCGTCGGAGATCAGAGGAATGGATGCTGTAAATTACAAGCACTTAGTTGAAATCTGAGGAGATCATTATTAATACCAGAACAATTTGGGTTTGCAGTTTAACGCATGGGTAAACTTATCAGGTTAAACAACAATAGAAATTAGATGTGTTTTAATTACTACTACTAATACTACTACAACTAACTATTACATCCTGTACTAATAACTTTTACTTGAAATCATTCCTCAGAGGAAAAAAATACATACTCTCAAGCCTTGCAAAGAAGTATGCAGTGGCAATAGTACTAATCATAGTAGTGGTAGTTGAAGTAGTAGTAGTGGTAGGAGGAGGAGCTGGGGTTGTACAAAACAACAACAAAAAAAGGGATTTTTTTATTCAATCACTTTAATCACCTTAGTATAAAACCACAATGAAACATTAACTATTATTTTATGAAGTATTGAAATTAATATAGAGTATTGTGACTACAAGTTTGAACTTGTAGTAAGAATAAGTAGTAGTAGTAGTAATAACAGTAATTTACCCTCTCATAGTTGTATCTGGAGTGATTTGTGCATGTTTGAGCAATCTCTAATCGCTTATTTTCAAGATGTCATGTTGCCATGAAGCCAATCCCAGCTTTCAACGTCAACAACATACAGTATTACAGCCAGTGGTCTATACTTAATCTAATTTTATTTTCTTAATTGGTGATACATGTAGGATTTGGCAGTGTCACATAGTCATTTTGGTACAAATGAAAAAAGATTTACTACTCACTAGCCAATGTGGAAGTCAGTGGACTTGTTTCTTTTATGAAGCTGTTTTAGATGATTATTGCAATTTTAAATGTGCAAGTGATAACATAATGATCCTCGACTGTCATAGATTATGAGTATATATTACTTGTTAATATTTAAATACCCTAAAAATAGCTTCATCTTTAATCCACTATGTAATTCATAAAGGACTTATAGATTCATATCTGGGTTTAAAATCCGAGCAAGGACCACACAGGGGTCACACTATCTGATTGTTCAACATGAATGTGATTAAAGGCGATAAGATCTGACAGTGATTTATCTTGATTAGAGCCCGTTATGACACTGCACAGAAGGGGGTCCAAAATTTACCAGACCGCAACCAAAAAAGGCCTCAATCATTTTAACAGCTCTGCCAATGGCTTTTTGTGCTTCATTTAGCGATTTTAACCAATTCTTCATATTATTATGCACCATTCTCCACAGTAATTCATTTTTCATTTCAGTATTTTTCTTTATGACGCATTATCCTGCTCAGTCCAACATTTTCTTTTTTTTTCCCGAAACTCGTTTTTTCACTTTTATGTGGCTTCTTAATTTGTATGCTCTCATGCTAATTTTCTGTATAAACAATTACGTAAACAAGATTGGCCCAGGGGGGTAGCCGAGCAGCTTGGCGTTGGAAGAAATAAACATCAAAACATTTTTTTCTCTCTGTTTAGTTTAAAATCAAGCTGGAGGACAGGTCAGGATTCTACGTTGCTGTTTAACTTATCTGACCTGGTTTATGGTTAGTGTCTTGGTTAGTATCTACTGGGCCTACAAACGAAACAAAAACTGGCACAAAGTTCAACATCTTCTCTGTCAGTATAAATTAAAAGCTTAAAGTGAAATTATTTTTTTCACAATAGCTTCAAGATGTGAGTGTTGGCATTTTAATGGCCTTTGAAAGCATTTGGGAAGGGATTTTTAAACAGTTTGCTGTGGTCCAAAGTTCTTCCTCATTTACGTCATGCATTCAAAGCGTCCTAATTATCCACTCACAACTTTAAGTTTGATGCCAACAACAACTAGCATGTCAACAGTGCACCTCCTGATATCTAAATAATACACAGCACAGTACACAGCTGATTTATTTTGACCTCAAGAGCTGCTTATTCAAAATATCTGTAATGGGGAAAGAGAAGATTTGGCGGCTCTGATAAAAGGGAGCTGGTACAGGGACATCAGTAACAAAGAGTAAGGTTTAACATGGATAAAAACTTTAGATATTTCTTTCAAAAGCAGTGAATATGTAATGTGTAATAGAGTTATATAGACTCTTGCTCTCTATCTGAAATTATGACATTATTAAATCGTAGAACGTGAACAGGATATAGTTTATGAATCCCCGGCAGCAGTAGAGACTTACTCGTGGTGTTGTATCTGACGCCGTAAAACAACTCCGGACATGGACGTGCCACCATCTGCCCCGCACTGCTCCTGGGCCAGCAGGTGCCTATGCCATCAATGTAGATCTCACAGTAAGGTCCAGAGCCTACGGAGAAAAAAGCATTATTGGGATGACCCTTTAAAATCTAAAGTGAAGAAGACACAATATATTTTCAGTGATTAAAGGTGCACAATGTAACTTCTTGGTTGGGGGTCCGTCACTTGCTTGTTTCTATGGAAATGTCATTAAACAGCTCCAGTTTACATTTACTCAATTACAGGTGTTATTCTTGCTCAAAAATACCTAGAAAAACAGACATTCTGACTATGGGTCGCCTCTTCACAGATCTGACCTGTAACTTGGTCTGATTTGGTCTCCATGAACATAGAAAGGTTTAATGCCATACTGTGAAACATTCCAGACATAACAATAACATCTCCATGAAGAATAGCATCTGACGGACCCTCCACCAGAAAGGTTACACGATGCAATTTTAACTGATTAACAGATCTAAATGTTAATGGTTTTACAACATTATAATGACCATTTAAAATTTTTAACGCTCACATTATAATTAATTTGCATCTCTGTTAACCTCAAAATTGTATTTTAGCTTCACAAAAACTATAATTTATGATGAAATGTGAAATATATTTGTAGATGAAGTAAAAAACTGTAGTGGGCTCAACTTTTGTCCAGTAACATCTAAAAATCAGGATATTTCCTTTGTTAAAAATACATAGTGTCTATCACCCTGTAAATGGTATAAAGAGGATCCACTAACAATTAACAATACTGTTGAAGAAATTCACATTATGGAGAAACTTACATAAATTATAAGGTTGCAACAAGCAAAATGTGAGGATTGCTGGAAAAAGTGGACTGTTTATTTGAATGACAACTGACCATTTGTTCTGTATACTTGTTTTGTTTTGTTATATTCTACTATTATGTGTTTAAAGTTTTTTTTTAAAAGCCTAGTGTCTATCATAATCTTCTTTTAAATCAACAAATAACATAAAACACAATTGCAAATGTTTTTAAACCAGGCTCTGATCTCCCTCACATCTATCTGAGTGATTTTCATTTGCCAAAGTTCTCTTGATATTTCATATTTTATGATATTCTTATGGTAATCCAAGCATTCCCACTGAAATCACACTATGTTCCACTTCTTTTCTTTTCCATTCTGGAATTCAAAATGTTTTTGTTTACACATTTTTAAAGGGTCTACCAGATAAATGCCTCTAACGCCACGCCATTGTTGCTCATAAATAGTGTCCTGAATGAATTGTGTTTGTTGTGTACACAGTTTTAATGAAGAGCTCCCGTGAAAACTGCTAATGTGGCAAAGCATCAAATCTATTTCTAGCTTTGTTTGTTACTGGCTTTGAAGTCCGACCTAATCACGGTTCACATCAGATTTACATCCCTCCGAGGGGTTTTTGGTAAAGAGCGTAATGGCCAAGATCCAAATCGGCACATTCCACACGTGTATTAAGGTGGACGGAATTCAGCTATTTCAATTAAGAAATGGATGAGTAGATTTTAAATAAATTCTAGAGAGCGTTCTTCAAATTAAACTATTTGGCTAAATCAAGAGACATTTGTCCCCATGCTAACAGTGGAAGGAGTAGCATTATAGTATTAGCAGGTAGTATTAGCAGTAACAATAGTATTAGCAGTAGCAGTAATAGTAGTAACAGTAGTCGCAGCACTAGCAGCAGTACTAGCAATAAAAGTAGTAGTAGTAGTAGTAGTAGTACCAGCAGTAAAAGTAGTAGTAGTAGTAGTAGTAGTACCAGCAGTAAAAGTAGTAGCAGTAGTAGTAGCTGTCGCAGTAGCAGTAGTAGTAATAGCAGTAACAGTAGTAGTAGTAGCTGTCTCACTAGCAGTAGTAGCAGTAACAGTAACAGTAGTACTAGCTGTTGCAGTAGCAGTAGTAGCAGTAGCAGTAACAGTAGTAGTAGTAGCTGTCGCACTAGCAGTAGCAGTAGTAGTAGTATCAGCAGCAGCAGTCTGTTGTACAATAAATCACTGTAGTTTTATTAGTAGTACTACCCATGCCTGACCAATATAGACCTTTGAGGCTTGAGGCCAGTATTTATATTAATGGGTTTGGAAATGTCACTAACTGATAAACTGGCTCTGTGATAAATGCATTCATTGAAAAGAAGTAATTCAGGTCCAGATGAAATTTTGATCATAACAGCTGCAGTTTGTCCAAGTGTCTCTTTTGGCTCAGCCCTAAAGTAACTTCAGTTTGTTTTTTATGAATGAACGATGACTGTTTCATAATGTCTTTTTGTCTTTGTTTTTATTAGGCTAAGTCAATACAGTGTACTCCCACTTTGGTAATACTATTTTGTAGTCATAGTTCTTATACTAAGTAGGTTTTGTACTTTTGATTTTTTTTTCTTCTAATAACCACATTAAAGTTGCCCTGCACAACGTTTTTGGTAGAGGATCCGCCACCTGCCTGTCTACATGGAGCTGTTATTGCTTTGACTAGAATGTTCCATGGTATGACTTTAAACAGATCCCTCTAGTATTTATTCATTATGAGTGTTTCTGTTGTCAATAATTCCTACTGTGAATAGGGGCGACTCTCCAGAGATCTCAAATGTAATGTAACATAGTGCTGTAACCTGCTTGTCTCTCTTTAATCTATACTGTGGAACATTTTAGACAAAGCAATGACATTTCCATGGAGACAAACATGTGACAGACCCTCCATTAGAAAAGTTATGCAGCACACCTTTAAACCAATGGAGATTTTAAGATGCTAAATGTTGAAGATGCTAAAAAAGATGGTATTCATTCAAAAGTGTTTTGACATGTCTCTTTTGTTTACCTTTTTAAATAGTTTAGTTAATGCATTTTACTGGAAATTTCAATAGATTTTGACATTTGACCAAATCTCTATAATTAATTGTACAATTGGCTTCTAACTCACCTGACCATGTGCTCGACGCATTGGGCAGGGTAATGTTCCAGTTGGCAACCAGGGTTTGTGCTGTGGGAGGAGAAATTTCATCAATTATAACACATCTTTCCAAGACAACAAAAATCTCATTAGATTCATCTTAAGAGCCACAACGATGGCGCATTAAAGGGCAACAGTAAACATTGGTGACAGACCTTTCCCCAAGCAATAACACGACCATAGCAGCAAATATGTGCCCAGACGTGCCCTGGGGTCGCCCTATTACAGGGGCACTAATCATTCAGGAAGAGCTCAACCACCCCAAGGCCAACAGGAATTATAACAAGATCCTGCATAGAAAAAAACTACATGTTTTTACATACAAGTGTGGCAGTAGCTATGTTTACACGCACACCAACAGTCCAATCATTATCTGATTTCTGGAGTTATCAGATGATTGAAATGTCAGCTACAGTTACAACTGATGTGAGTAATCTGACTGTTTACACCTGTACAGGTTTTGACAAGGGAAATTGGGGGGGAAGCAAGCTAATATGACAAAAACAAAAAGGAAAAAGAATATTATAAATGTTGAAATATACATTTTTCTCATCATGTATTTATTTTGGTTTTCATAAAATAAATAAACACAAAAGTAATCTCCTTCTGCACAACATCCCTTACATACAAAAATATATCCATGTAATAATGCCTATAGTTCAAAATAAAAAAATAATAATCATAATCATAATCATAATAGACAAAAAAATAAATAAATAAATACAAGACATACAAGTTACTCTAAAAGTTATATGCCATCAGGTGTTTTTTGATAACACGCTTTCTTTTGTGCATGTAAACATACACCAAAAATCTGATTACTTTATTTAACTGATTTCTACTGACCCTGTGTTAGTTAATGTATTTCCAGTATTGTTGTCACTGCGAGCTAAATGTATGCTGAAGTAGTCACAGTTGCCTCAGGGCTGACTGGCGGAAATGTGGTGGCCAGTCTGTGCAGCCTTACTCACGCCCTCAAATCACACGCAATCCTTATTCATACAGAGGAAGGGTCTTCAGTCATGTATGTGTTTTCATTAAATGTCCTACACTACACAAAATGGTTCCTTGTGACCTTTAAGTCATGGTATAATGTTATTAGCTCCTCAAAAACATAAACAAAGCTGGCCCTTTAATATTATGTATTCCCAAAGCTCACCTTATGATACTAACAGCTACCTTTTCCTTTAGTTCAGCAGAGATTGGCAATTCCAGGGCTGAAATCACCCACAAATAATTCTAGTGAAGGTATATGGAGTTTAAAAACAGTGGAGAACTTCCTGTATTATCACATGAGAAAAGAACTCATTGTGTAGGGTTTGTGTGTGAAAGAAACAAAGCACAACTCCAGGTATGTTTGTGATGAAGAAACAACATTATATATAGATCAAAAAACAGCATAATATGGGTCCTTTAATTGTTAGTATATGAAAATATTGTAATCTAACTGTTATTTCTAATTTGGCCTGTACTCGAATAAGTAATTATCATATAAAATCCAATTACCACATAATAATTCAATATGAAGTGGCATGCCCCCCTCAGAGAAATACAGAGAAATCACAAATGAGCAGCAAAGCAAAATGTATTTATGAACCCAAGGATAATGTGTCAAGTTTAGTTAACATACTTGTCTTTGACGTGCTGTGTGTATAAACCATGCACATGCTAATTTCAATATTAAAAATAGAAAGGAGAACACTTTCAACAATTTAATATTTTTACAAAGAAAAAAGCAATTGCCTCTACTGGATCAGATATTTGACAAGTTAATTTTCCAGAACACACTCTAATTTCTTCCAAGGGACCAGTAGCACACTTCATTGCTATTGAAAATCTGTTCACCAACTTGTATTGATTTGCTTAGTGCACTGTCTATTTACTTTGCCTCTACCTGGTAACAGTATATGAATAAGTACCTCTCAAAACAAAATGGTTAACCTTCTGAACTCTAACGTGTTAGTAGTTTTTGCCATTCAAATGTGAACTCAACTCTATGAGCTGTTGTAACACTAAATAACTCGTATTTAAAAGGCAATTTCAGCTACTTTACTTATTACGTATTTACTTGTAATTTAAGCGCATGATGTCTACAGAAATGGAAAAATATGACAAGGTAATACTTCATAATAACTACAGTTTTAATAGTCTTAATGAAGCATTAACAAAGATTTAATTCAGAATGATTCCGGCTCAGTACCTACTTAATACTTAATACACTAACTCCTAACCCTTTAATTAAGTGTAAGTACTGTTAATGAAGCCTAAACCGCAAAGTATTTGCTCATTGTGAATTAAATCTTTCTTAAGTAATGTACTGTACAGTATATGTATGATGAATATAGAAAATAAGAGGTATGATCACAGATGGTATTGGGACTGGGTTGGGCGGTATCCAAATTTTGATACCGTTAAACCTCAGCATTTTACCGGGTTATGTGGTATTACTGTATTACCAAAATGTTTTAGTACGACTTTGGTAAGCTAAGAAGCCGCACCGCTATACAGTCTATGCGTATGACCTGCGCACTTATAATCTCTGAAAAGTTTCACATGAACCATCTCCAACGTGATAGTTACACGCACAGAACAGACTCACCGTCAGCTGTACATCCTCTGTCACAGAAAGAACACTCATATTCCACAGAGTTGTGTCCTTTAGTCCAAAAGAAATTTAACCACATCAGCGCACAAGGAAAGAGCTGTTTTTATCAGAGCTTTAGAGTTTATGCAAATGAGCCATGTGGTTTAAAGTTTCATTTCTGTAAAACATAAACAAATGTGTGGGAGCCAAACTGCTGTTAAATTGAAAATACAACCAAACATTCATTTGTGCCGAGCAAAAAAATGTAGGTATCAATAAATTATAATATTATTTTAGGTCCTTATACGCTGAAGATTTTTTTAATGATGGAAATGAAACTGATACCGCTGCTACTTTTTGACACTGCAGGATACATATATACAGTGTTGGGGAGTAACGGATTACATGTACCGCCGTTACGTAATCAGAGTACAAATTATGAGTAACTGTATTCCGTTACAGTTACTGTTTCAATGAGTGGTAATTGGATTACAGTTACTTTGCTGAAATAAGTGGATTACAAGGCGGTATTTTCCTGTTTTCACATTTTGTGCTACATCCCATTTATTAATTTTTTTATTTCGGTAATTCCACTCATTGCCGGAAACCCAAACAGAACGCACGCAATAAGAGCGATAGAAACGTCATGTTAAAGTTGGCGGTGTCAGTCACACAGTGGAAGCAGCAGTGCATTGGTAAAAACGCATTTGTGTTTTGGAAATTCTTCTCCCGATGTAGGATATATATATAAAAAAAAAACAAATATAAAATCGCCTACAACTTAAATGTGAAACTGGAGCTACTGGCACTGGTGAAAACAACCTGCATAGACTCATAATATCTGCACTACTGTCCTATAGTGACCTGCGACATGAGGGGACGCGCACACAAACACACACAAAACACACACAAACACAAACACACACAAACACACACAAACACATACAAACACACACCATCATCGCCATCAACCTGAGAACCCGCGGACCACGTCTCCTTCCGTAGTTACAGCGCGTGTGGACCGTGTTTTCTCGCGTAAACCGCGCTTCCTCCTGTGCGCCTCTAAACCAGAACTAACACCAGGACTAAACCAGGACTAATCCAGGACTAAACCAGGACTAAAGCAGGACTGAACCAGGTTTAAACTAGGACTAAACCACGACTAAACCAGAACTAAAGACCTGGTCTAGACCAGGTCTAAAATCAGGAGTAAACCAGGTCTAAAAATCAGGACTAAACCAGGACTAAACCAGGTCTAAACAACATGACACCTAACAGTAGGTTGACATAATTTAAGGTGATGTCATATAAAAAATAATTTCTCTATCAATAATATTTTTTAATCTGGTGAAGGAAAGGCTTATCTTGTTACTGTCTTTTAACAGACAAAAACCTCTTATATTAAGATATCGTGGTCTTTGTTTCTCTACAGCAAACAGTTGCTTATTCATGGAGACTTGGGCTCAGACAATTTGAAGACAACAAACAAGAATTTTCTGGATGTGGTTGCTACATTCATGTCGTTTAAAAAACATGACAATATCAAGTAATCCAAAGTAACCAGATTACGTTACTCACTTTAAGTAATTTAATGGATTACGTTACAAACTACATTTTGGGGTGTGTAATCTGTAATCTGTAGGGGATTACATTTTAAAAGTAACCTTCCCAACACTGCATATATACCGTATTACCGCCCAACCCTAGGCTGTATATATACGTGAACACAGGTAACCTGCTAGTTGCTGCGTTCCATATAGCAAGTGTTTCATGAGGGCGCTTCCAGATGCAGGGACTTTGGCTCCAATTGACGTTACACTGGACAATTGTCACCTCTCTCTGTAACTGCTGCAGTGAGCAATTTTGGTCTTAAAATGTTCATATTAACCCACTCTATATGATCTTGGTGTTTTTATTTCACTATTTTGTATGTAAATGCATTTTTATTCCTAATATGGATGTGGCTCCAAATTCGCCCCTATAACTTCCGACCTCATGAGCTTCATTTGACTGGAGCTGAACGCTATGGTTGACATCATACTTCATTAGTCCATTTCTTTATACAGTCTATGGGTATGATTTTGTTTTAATGGAAGTGTGGAGGGATGGGGGATTATTATACTTATTACTTTTCAAGCTAAATTTGTGTATTTTTGGTGTGTATTTTATTTTTTACAAATTTGAAGAATGGTTGATCATTACTGAATATTGTTAAATGTGCTATTTAGTTTGGGCTCGAAATAAATTTAACTAACTCATATTTAATTAAGCCTAATTAAGCTGTAGTTACTATGAAGTGATACCATTTTGCCCATACCCTCAAAAAGTAAGTGAAGATGAAAGTTTGACATTTGGGGCCTTGCGGGACTTTGGGAACAAATAAAAAATCAATTCATAAGTTCACTCCTCTGTGTTTGCAGTGAAAGGTCGTAGTCGGGAGTCGGTGGCATTTGAAAAAAAAATTACTAACTGTGATCAAAGGCTAGTCTTTTGGATGACAAAGGTTCAGCTCAAACATAGGGTAGGGTCTATACTTACATGAGAGGTTCCCAGCGAGCAAGAGAAGGGCTTCACATGTCAGCTGTGCAGAGGAGCCCAGAGGCAGCAGGCAGAGGATGGCCCACACCTGCAAATAGACAAGAGGCGCAAAGGAGTCACACACTTCATAAATCACATTTCAGCAAAACGCCACTGTAAAAACACACAAGGGGCCAGAATGGACGATTGTTTTGGGCAACCCCCTCACAGAGAAAGTTTGAACACAGTGTAAGATATACGTATACACCATGTTTAAGACTATATAATTCCAGGTGTTGTTGTTAATAAAAATACTTTGAACTTTTTCTGGTGCATGCTGTGCTTTTTAAGGTGAACTATGCAACTTTTCTGATGGGGGGTCCATTGTGACTCCACATGCTTGTCTTCATAAAGTTGTTGTTTAGGTAGAAATAATCCACAGTATAGTTTTAGGGACCACATATTAATAGCTAACTAAGTGGTAACTGGTAAGCTAATTAACTGTTACTTAGCTACTATTTAGTATTACTCAAACACTTATTAATGCTTTTTAAGATTTCATTGTATGCACAAAAACACTGATTGTAATCTCCACTATTTTAATGGGAAGATAATAGTTAAAGGGTTAGTACTAGGAAAATATGGCCTTAGACAAAAATGCATTGAAAGTACTTAATAAATACTAACAAAGATGCAATTAAGCACTTAATATGCATTTTACTATTAACTAGCTATTAATATGAGGTCCCTAATCTAAAGTGTTACCCTATCTTTTATTAAATTACACATTTTTATTGTTAAAAAATTTAAAACAAGCATTCTTGTTGCCTCGCCAGATCTGTTTTGTAACTTGGCCTGTCCTCCTTGGATACTGAAGAGCTAAAAGAAGTCCTTGTGTGCTTGTGGATCTTTATGTTATAATTTGCACATTTTACATCACAATATTCATCTAAAATGACTTAATAAAAGAAACAAGTGGGCTGACTTCCACGTTAGAAAACTGCAGTCCCCAGTGGGCACAGACGTCGCCTCTAAAAGTTGATTTTGCATAACAGGAATAGGTTTGCTTTGATGTTATACTGTGGAACATTCCAGGAAAAGCAATAATATCTCCATGGAGACCAGCAGGTGGCAGACCCCTCACTGGAACAGTTACATGTTGTATCTTTAAATAATTTTAATGCTTGCAGCTTGTTGTACCAAATGGAAATTTGTCCTTGGCATTTGATCCACCCTTCAGCCAGTGCCTATAGGTAGTGGGTGACCGCAGTGAAACGCCCAGGGACCCTTCTCCAGGTCTGGAGCGAGGATCTTGGTCATGATTACTTAACTTGGACACCAAACAGAAAATACTAATGAAAACAGACATTGCCTTTCTAAAATGTCACTTCAATATTAGATTTCTGAACTGCTGACACAAAACATTCAGTGCATGTCAATGCAATGGTTTTGTACTCATAGGATCAGCTTTTTGAGATGTGTTGCTGTTGACACAAAATGAGCTATTGAGAAAATGTGTAGTAGTTTTTATTTATATTTTGTACTGTACAAGCTTCATTTGAATCTGTATTACGGTTCTCATTAATGTCCCACGTGCGCACTTGTGTTGGTGCCCTTGAGCTGCTGGTGGTGATTGCGTCTACAAGATCCTGCTTCTTAAATTGGCATCTCTTTGTAGTTTATAATCATTTCCTCTGTCAATGAGCTTTCATGTTTATAGATACAAGGTTAAATCATATTTGAATGCAACAATTACCATGTGAACCTGAAATTAGGCAATATTATCCTTCTCTGAGACGGGTTTCTAGTCCACTGTTAACCTGCTTTGTTGTATCTACGCAAGCAAGAACATTTCTGAATAATGCACATAATTACGACACCACATTTGGTAACTGTATTTGCACAGACAGAATCTGAAAAGAACTGATTGCAGTTCTTTTAAAATTGTAATAGTCCAATATTCAGCATTGAAAATCTGTAAATAGTAAGTCTACGAAACAAAAGGTTGAGCCGACAAAGTTGGAGAATTTAGAAAAAAAATTAATGACGAAGAGGAAATCATTCACACGAAGAGGTATTATACTGTACAAGGTTTGGTTGTTCGTCATAATTCCAACTTTGTTTCGTAATAAAACTTTTCGCACCCTAACTATCCATGGGTTTCAAAGAAAACTAGGGACTGCTGTCATAGCAATTCAAAACCAACTACTTCATCATTTGAATAGTCAAGTGTACTCAAAATGGCATCTAAAAACACGCAATTGAAACCTGTGACTTGGCGGAGGTACAGGGTGAGCTAAAGCGTAAGTTTCAGTGGTGAACAATAATCTAAACTACTGAAGTATGCCAAGTGAGTCATTTTAACCGCTTTGATGTTTGTGCTATTTTTAGTTTCACCAAATTCTCAATACTGAAAATAATTGTCAAAAATGTTCTTAATTTAAATGGCAGAAACTTCTTGTTTGTAATTATGAATAATTATGACTCAGGTTTTACAGGTTGCCTCACGAAGACAGTAAGTGGCAGCACCTTTTGTTCTCTTTTAACCAAACCAAATTACCTTTTTGACAAGCGGTTAACATGGCCACTGTCATTGGCTTTCAAGGAAATATATTTTGTAAAATAGACTTTTCAGAGCTTTTAACCATGTTATAATTGTTTTCCATTCTCATTTACCCACTCCAAGTTGTGTTTAGTGTGATTTAGGCATGTATCTACGTCACGTTTTCATCATCACTGGTACACGTGCACTGCTCTGTACTGTACTCCCAATTTTATTTTATTAATCTGTGATGCACGTAGGATTCGTCAGAGTCCTGCCCATAAGAAAGGTACTTTGTTGCGATGACATTTACAGTAACATATAAAAAAGGGTTTGGTAGAAATTGTCTCCTAACGTCATTGGGTCACACATTTTCCAACTCAGAAATCAGAGGACCTGTTTATTTTATGACGTTGTTTTAGGTATGGGCTCAAAAAAATCAAATCAGTGATATACCTATACTACATAGTACAATTCTCGAATCAATTCAAAATTTGTTGGTAATACATTTTGTGCTTGTGGAGGTGTACTTGACTATATTATTAGAAGTAATTATTGATAAAACTCAAATCACTTTGTTTTTTTTTATCAAACTCAAGGCAATGCACATCCCTAGTTTTAGATCAATAATGTGATTTTAAATGTCCAAAATATAACATAATGATGCCTGGATGTCATAGATTGTAAAGCAGACGCACAATACATCTTCTTCAAGTCATTTAAATTCAATCTATACTCCAAAAAGTCGGCCTATATCTAGAGCTGAAAGTGCTTTTAATTTGGTTGTTTATGTCCCATTTATCACTGAGATCTCATAAAGTTAGTCACATGCAGCAACAACATGTGAGTGAAAGAAAATTAAGGCTTTCTTTGTTTTTTGTTATGGTGCCAGTTATCACGCATAATAAAAGAATCTGGATGTTTCTAATCACAATCATTGTAAAAATAAACTGACAGTGTCCATTGACAAGATAATTTCCCCGGCATTCTTACAGATGCCATTTGATATAATTACATAAACAGAAAAAGGGAAACCCATTCGTGCCTCATTTAAGTGACAGTGCAGCCAACCATAGGGAATACAATGCTAGGATTAATATTTCATCCACAGACTTTGATCTCCTCTGGATTTCTTGCAACCGAAGACGATGAGAAAACGCTGGAAAATGTCCAATGATCTGAGAGAAGGAGGGAGGGAGGGGGTCACGTTTGAGCTAGAAAGATTTACTAAATACATGTAGGCAGCTTGTGTCAGTGGTATTTCTCTCAAGACCAAATATGTTGATGCATGCCACGCAATTTGCATAAAGCAGAAGAAGAAAAAGGCTGCTCCACTTGACTTTTGAATCTATACACCATGAATATTCCCAATGGAGGACTGAAGATGGCCACTAAAGTCAATGTTGCGTTTTTCACTTAACCTGCTAATAAATAATGCAATGGGTGAAGCAGAGCAGAAAATGAAGATAAGGTTAATTGAAAGCGCACCTTTTTTTCCCCGGAAATATGTCAACCTCGTCAGTCAGCACTTTGTGAGAAAATTCCATCAAGTCTTAAAACATTCCAGGTTGCCCCAGTTTTTTTTTTTGAAGCAGGAGATGGGATCTTGACGCCTTCACTGGCCCCATTTCACGCTCACCAAGTACATTACAGGTACGATGATGGTACTGTAGCCTAGAAAAAGCCCTTACCCCCCAAGTAATTAAAGCGAATAGAAACCTGGGCGGTGTGAATCAATATAGCATAAAGAAAGTGTAACGATTGGAGAGTTTCATATACAAGCATCATATTTTTGACCTCTGCCAGGCGCATATGCAGTGTGAGAGGAAGGGGAGGGGGTGAAAGAGGTGAAGTGGTCTTAAATCTTGACAATGGGGAATAGCAGGAAAGCTGGGAGGGCCATTTGGATGGAAGAAAGAAAAAGAAAAAGTGAAGATTCTTAGCTATTCTTAGTACTGCAGTTTTTCTTTGCACAGTGAGAGGTATAGGTGAAATAGGCCCCCCAAGCAATTGTAACAACACAGGCTACACACTTCAACAAAACACACATGGACTTGTCATGTAATTGCAATAGACAGCTCTAACTGTAACCACAAGAGACAGATTCAAAGTTATATCTGAACTTGAACATGCCATCTTGTACACTGCCCTATTTAGGCTACAGTAATTCCACAATGGGGAGGAAAGTTGGGATAAAACAGGCTTAGATTGCTGAATTAACACGTTGCCTTAAATCCTGGGTGTCCCATATCCACGGTTTCCCCTCCCTCAGTCTCATCGTGTTTTCGCAGTCCTGTCACTTGTCGTGCGTCTTCCTCTCCCCAAGTACATCCTCACGCTCCACTGTTTACAAGCCCTGGCCACATAAGCATTTTCTCGCTGTTTAACGAGATGCAGATCTAATTTTATAGGACAATGGGGACATTACTAAGCTCCCCATGCGCGTTACTGTACACTTTTGTTGATACAGGAATTTGGGGGACTGATTAAAATTGGCACCTGGATAGCCGTGGGTAATAACACCTAATAACCGAGCTCAAGTCCCGTACGCGAGCTTTGATTGAAGTTAAAACCAATCAGCTTTGACAGTAGATCAAATGAAGCACTTACCCCCAGAACACAGATCCATTTACGACGCATTTCTAGTGTCTTTCACATTTCTTCTTAATGAAAATAGTCTTGCAGTGTCTACAGTCGCCTTTTCCGCCTCTCCCTGGAGTCCATAAAGTAACAACAAAACATTTAAAACGACTTAAATGTCATTTTTTTAAAGTAAAGGAAATAGTGAAAGTGTTTTTTTTTTTTGTATTGCTTTCAGGCTGATGATGATGATGGAGTGTCCGGTCTGGCTGAAACGAAGCGCGCTTGTCCAGTTTACGTTACAGGAAACTAAATCCAAAAAATGGGATCGCGTCGCGGGTTAACTCCTTTTTCACGGCCGGTGTGCAGACAGTATGCAGTCAGTCGTATCCTCTTCCTTCAGCGTCTCACATCCCTCTCTCTGCGTACTGCTGTCCGTGTGAGTTGAGTGTACAGTGCAGCGGGATGGTGAGTGAGCGAGTGTCCTCTCTCACCACGCGCCGCCCACGTTGTACTCGGGCTTTTGGGTTTGTTGAGTATCCGGCGCAAGGACCATAACTCTTCCTCTACACAGTTAATTATGCAACAACTGCGTTCCGGATTCTAATTCCAGATTCCAATCGTGACGCTGCATGAAATGGCACGTCGAAAAATAAGAAAAAGTGGCGGTAAATTAATGACCCCTCAGTGCGCGCGCTTTCAAGGCACCATTTACCATGTGCCCTCCTGTGTCTCAGACGAATTAAGTCCAGATCAGAGTCAACAGATTTGGCTGTTTGCTAAAGAGAGACAGATGGTCCCCTGGGGGTCAATAAAGTTTAAGATCCCCGGTGCTCCTATTAAAAACACCCGAAACTGCAGAGGTCTGGACTATTTACAGATTTACTAGGCTCTTGCTAACTCATAAAATATGGGAACATGTGGGCATGACTACAAACATTCGAAAAAAAATTATAAAAAATCGTATATAAAACCACATTATTTACTCTACACTGTACTAATTTCTCCCACAGGTTTATACTAAGACTATGGTTGCGCTCCATATTTGAATAATTTTATTTAATGCCGCTTTGTACTCCATATTATTACTCCGTGTGTTTATGATAACACTACAAGCACAAAGCAAAATGTATATAACAATATTTTTATGCTCAGCTAGTTCTTAGACTATGGGGGGAAGGGGGCAAAAATTAGACTATGGGGGAGCGGTTAACACTGCACAGTGTAACTTTGCTAGAGAAGGAACAGCACCTGCTTGATTGTTTTGCATGGAATGTTCCACAGTACGGCATTGACACTGAACTTATATCTCCATGCAGACATGCAGGTGATGCCATCCAGGAAAGTAACCAGTCAGATGTGTGGAGAGGTAGAGGCAGGTGGTATACCTCTCATGAGAAAAGTGACATAGTGCACCTTTAAGAATATTAATTACACCTGAGCCAGCCCCTTTGTTTACTTATGAACTTTATATTATGGTGTTACTCCTTACCAAGCAATTATGTTAGTGTTATAGGCCTAAAGCATAACCACCAGTACTAACAAGCTTATTGAATACATAATGTTGTAATTTACACTTAAAACATAACATGTAATAAAAATTTATTAAAACAGCAGACAGCACCTGAATTAATGCTCTCTTCTTGCTTTATGTGTGGTAATAGATTCTAGACAGTTTTGTTTTTTTTAAATGGTTCTTGACATCAGGATACAGCCATAGGCCAATCGTAAAAATGACAGCAACATTTTATTCAGCATTATCTCTATCTGTTAAATGTTCTGTCCATAAAAGGCAAAGAGTAGACCACAGTTTAAACAATGGATTGCAATGTCACATTTAATAACTATAATCTGTGAGTGTTAACAGAAATGAGCCAACATTACATCACTAATAAAAAACGTGATAGTGTCTGGCAGACATAACAGATGCTCAGTACATTGGTGCATAACCTGTTCAACATGAATTTAAAGAACTCATATTGTGCTTGAGCCTTATATTTATATAACGATATAATCTATGACACCCATGGATCATTGTTACAATCACAATCCTTATCTAAAACAACTTACTAAAAGAAACAAGTTGATTTCCACGTTAGAAAACCGAGGTGCCCAATGGGAGGATAATCACAACAAGAGTCCGCAACTCCAATGTACAGCTGCACATCACGCTTGTGCGAGTAACAGATTTTTTTCATTTGTACTAAAATTACTACACAACACTGCCAAATTCTACATGTATCACTGATTAAGAAAATAAAACTGGAGCAGACGTGAATCCACAATATAGCATCTTGAAAATAAGTGATTAAAGATTGCTCAAAACATGCACCACTCACTCCAAATACAATTTCAAGAGGGTAAATGAGAAGGGCAAACAACTATAACATGGTAAAAGCTCTGAAAAGTCTATTTTGCATAATAGGTCTGCTTTAACAGTGCAATTTTGTAGAACAATTTAATTTCCTATTGACTGTATAAGGGCATTGTGTGAAAGTTTTCCATGAGTTATTTTCCACCACAAATGAAATGTAATAAGCAAACATACCTATATAACCTAGGCTTTCTTTACATTCTAAGTAGGTTAATAGCACCCCTGCAGGATCTGTTTGTCATTGTTACAGTCATGGATGTCACTATGTACAGTGGGACAGTGCAAATAGGGTTTCCTCTTTCACATGAATAAGCGCAATGTGGTAAAAAAAGCTCCAACAAACACATAGTGATGCCGGGCCTGAATGACTTCTAATAACTGTACTACAATGTGCACAAATGGATCTATGTGGCGCATTAAAGCTCTACCCTTCAGAGGCGGTCATGTGAAGAGAAGCATTATTCACAAGATGCTTTAATCCAAGGTGACAGTGCCCTCCCCTGAGTTTGCCATGTTGTGAAGAGGCCAGACTGGAGCGAAAACAGTTTGTCTTGCAATTTCAGTCATCACTTGTACAAGATACCCCCTAGAGCTGATTGATTTATTTGGAAGAAATATCTAATTGCAATACTGGTTAGATTTGCATTTTTGTTTAAATGTCCTGTATCACACAAAAGGGATTTTTGCAAGATTTAAGCCATTTTAGAATGTCGGTATATCATCAAAAACATACCTGAAGTTGTGTTTTGTTTCATTCACACGTCTGTAGTAGCAATTTTCAAGTTAACCTTTTACCTTTTGTTCAGCAGAGATTATAAATTCCAGGCCTGAAATTGTCCAAATGATTTTAGTGAGTGTATATGGAGTTTAAAAAGCCAGTGGAGCATTGAATTCCTGTATTATCACATGACATCACAAGGGGGAACAGAGTGTTGTCTTTTTGAGAGAAGAACTTTGCCTAAATACGCAGGGTCTGTGTGTGCTAAACGTGTGAATGAAACAAAACACAACTAGGTATGTTTGTGATCAACAAACAATAAAACAGACCAGAAAATTGTGCAATACGAGCCCTTTAAAACATTCTGTTCAGAGTCCACATTTTAATCACATCCAGAATAATTGACAAAAAGAACAAATTAACTGAAAACCAATACAAGAATCAGTTTTGAGACCATGTTTGCACATATCAAAATTACAAGGTTAGCGTTTTTATGAAAAATAAGACAGGATATTTTGTTGATTGTGGAGAAAATTATGGTCTTTCTAGAAATTGCAGCCTTTTGAGATCTGCTAATAATTTTCACCCATTCAAACTGCGATTTTTATTGCGATTAATCTTGTCGCCCTAATACCTCTGTCTGCCAGTCTCAGCACACAGTCTGGTCTAAATAATGTAACAGTACCCCACATACACCTGCCTACCAATTAGGTGCGGAATCAACTTAAATCAAGCCTGACACGCGGTAAAGGTGGCTGTTTCAGAGTGAATTCGTCTTGCTTTTGTGGTGGACACTGGATACCTGGTTGTAGTGAAATACTTGTGTAACATCCTCTAATCTTTTTTCCTAGATGTTGCAGCTGTTGGAGGTCACTATCAAGCCTTGTTTTTTCTTCAATCTAGCCATGACAAATGAGATGCACCCCCTCAGCTATGAACTGGATACATACATGCATACTCACGCATCATCGCCATGGTGTCGGACCCAGCCGGGCATTGTGTTAAAGGGGTTGTTACCGAGGCACAGCAGAAGAAGAGAAAGCAGGCGTTCATTCATTGCATGTTGAGGCTCAGGATATTTCTATAATGATCCTGAACTTTGCTCTCTTGCTGAAAATGCGTGACGTTTCTCACATGAGTGCACCAGGAGAAGATGGGAATGCTGTAACCTAAAGGCTGCGCTGTGATGAGTTGTCAGGCCTGGAAGTTAATATTGAAACAGCGTTAATAAAGACACATCATTTGACTGGGAGAGATGGTGGAATTGAATTTGAAAAGTGTCATTTGTCAGCACCCAATACACCCCATCACAAACTTCTGAAGCTTATGCAAACTTGTCAAGTCACTCAGTGTGATGGTGACCTAGAAAAAGCCTTCATATTGAAACAGCGTGAGTGTGAATTGTATGTCTATGTGTGTGTGTGTGTGTGTGTGTGTGTGTCTTTGGAGTCTCAGTCATATCTGTGCGTGGCTTTGCTCACACATACTTCAAGAGAGCAGTATCATAACAAACACATTCAAAAGGATCCTTTAAAACTATGAACAATTCACAGACGCAGCCAGGAACGGGGCGTGTAAAGGCGGAAGGAGAAACGAAACAAGGAACACCGGTTTTAGTATATGCGCCAAAAAGGAGGCCAGTTGACTGTATAATTAGATAATGTTTTTTTTTTTTGTTGTTTTTTTCACACCCAAGCAACACCGAGCGATACTTCATGCTGTAAACAATTTGAGGAGTCAGACCTTGAACCGAGTTGGTGACAAAGCGCTGTATGAGTTATTGGTGAAACCTTCGGAGGATAGCTTATTGATTTTATGACAGGTGTGGATGTAGTAGCAGCGTCACAACATGACACAGCCACATGCATGCTAATAAGATCCATTACACATGCAGCCCTTGTGCCCACATGCACCGCTAACCTTTACAAAGGATACAAAAGGTTCCACTACATTTAAAAAGCCTGTTTTGTTTTTTTTTACAAGTAGCCCTCCTTACCAGCTCTCATCCCCATTGCAAAAGCGGGTGACATTTACGCACCGTACAGTAAGCCCTCAGTGGAGAAGGGATTATTGTTTATCTGATTACGTACTGAAAAAAATTTACATTTAATTTTGCTCACTCTAATACAGAATAGCTTCCTGTCTTATTCAATCATTTTTGGGACTAAACAAAAGGACATTTGGTGTGACATCACTTTTGATTTGATGAGGATTGGAGGTGGTTGTGTAAGATAATAACAGGGATGGAATTGCAATTTCCCCCAGTGAAATAACTATTATTGTGTGTTGTGTTGCCAAAGCTGTAGTGAAGCTGCACATTTTCTGGGTTCACGAGGGAATACGTTATAAGCAAACAAATATTAAAATAAAAAGCAGGATTCAATAGTCCC